AGCGACCTCTTAGAGTTGAGCTGGAACGCCCATATTTGGTGAGGATTTTTTTATATTAAATAAAAACATTTGAGAGGGTAAGAGCGAAAAAAAATTTATATAAATTATTTATAAAATCGTTTGAAAATGGGAAAAATCTAAATTACTTAATTATTTTTAGGTTATATTTTATATAAGTCAAATAAAATATTTCTTTCGGCAGGTTTTCTGTATACTAAATAATTTAAGTATTATTTTCTTAGTTTTTTTACGGTACCATCATAGTGCGATTCCAATTGTTGCTTATTTTATAAGATGATACGTTTTTATTAACAAATTATTTTTTTTTCATGAAAATTTTTTTTTTCTGTAAAGTTCAATACATTGTCTCAGAGGGTATTAAAAAACTAGGTAACCCTTAAATTTTTAATAATATCGATTAAAAACCAACGGAGTTATTTACTATTTTGTGCAGTAATAATTTCGCGGCTCGAATGTGCAAAAATACGAAAATTGATTTGAGCGACCTCTAAATATTCATCGAATTTGGATTTTTTGGTATCAATATTTTAGTTTTAATGTAATCTTTATAATTTAGGCCAGTGCGGGTTCATTTAAAAAAAAAGGCTTTTTTTGAATCACCCTACACTATATATATTTTTATATAAAGAGAAAACATCTCATTCTTGAACGATTTAAGTTAAATTTAAAGCTAGGATAGGTAATCCATAAATTCTAATCTGGGAACTAAATCTTATTTTTGTATATCTCCCGTTCGTTGTGCATATCTCCCCTAAAATACAAAAATATTGTGTTTGGTAATACATTATTTTATCTACTCCTACGTTGACAAGCAATAACATTTTAGTCACTGGCTTTTTTTAAATTGAAAAAAATTGAATCTGGGTGACAGTTGTCAGATGTCAATGCCAAATAAAATTGGATTTAAAATTTCTTTTGTGTTCGTTGTAAATAAAGTAACAGTTGGTCGCAAGCTTCGCTCATGCCTAATTAAACTAGTTACTAAAATCCCTTTTGTGAAACCTAAAAGTTACATAATATACTTTTTTTTTATAATATTGGCCGTAAAAATAGTATATTAAAGAACTAATGTCATAAGACGTCATTTTGTCGCACGCGGACAATTTATAAAACGAGCGACGAAGGAGCGAGTTTTATAATGGACAAGTGCGACAAAAGGTCTTATGACATGAGTTCTTTATGCTATTTTATCTATTTTGCAAACATTTTATAAAACAAATTAATTTTATACCTTATATTTAATTTGGTGGAATTTTACTTTACATAGTTGGTATCACACTTTGAAGTTTGAAAGGTCATTAACCTTTCAAACATTATCACATTCTTTCGCTATGGCGTCGTTAATTTACAATAAGTATTTACAATAAGCGGCTGTTAAAGAAGAAAAAAGGATTTTCTTTAGAGTTAAACAAAATTTATTGCACGAAAAGTCTCGTAAGTACTAGAAAACAAATCATAAAAATATTATAACCTATAGGTATTCAAAATTGTATTTTACCAGTAGCCAACCTATAAAATCAAAATTTTGAGTGGAATAAAGTACCTCATTAAAGAACCAAAAGCGGTGTTATAATGAAGTCATTATGAAACCAAAATAGATAAAATATATTATGCAACTCGTTTTCTAGAAACAAATTTTATCAAAGACTCGCTCTCAAGCTTCTCAATATTCGTAACTAAAATGGCGTTTAACAAACTTTTATGTAACATGATACCTTTAAAACGGTTTTATAAAGAATGTAAATTTAACCCATTTAATAGGTATACCTGCAGTACATGGTCTGGGCAGGCGTTCTTATAAAGTCACTCAGGTGTGAAAATGTTAAAACCATAATCGATTTTGTTATAGTGAGTAAATATAGGCACTTTTGAAAGTACAAAAAAACTGAAGATTTCAGTTTATTGGTTATTTACAGATTTTTTAAAAGACTGAAAAGTATTGCCAAAGAAATCTAGATTTAAGTTATTTGCATTTTTACATATCCTATTTAAGGGTGCATTAAAATCATAGTTTGTGCAGTGGTGACAAATATAAAAGAGGTTATTATTTCTTAGTCTAATTTAAGGAAAGTTATTTGCATTTTTACCTATCCTATTTAAGGGTGCATTAAAATCATAGTTTGTGCAGTGGTGACAAACAGTGGCGTATTTAGGGGGGGGTCCGCCGGGTCCGAACCCCCCCCGGGCGCACATATTTTATTATTTTTATTACAAAAAAAGTTCCTTTTATTTACTATTTTATCGGATCAGAAGAGTTCCTAATTTGTGATTTTTTAGTTATTAAAGCATAGCATATTATAGTATTTAGGATTTAGCTCCGGGGGGGGGGTCCAAAAAAACTAACTAAATATGTATACATATTTAGTTAGTTTTTTTGGACCCCCCCCGGAGCTAAATCCTAAATACGCCACTGGTGACAAATATAAAAGAGGTTATTATTTCTTAGTCTAATTTGAGGAAAGTGTAGTTATACCAAGTTTTTATAAAATATGATGTTTTCAGAATGGTTTATTATTTAATTTTGTAAATGTTATTTTTGTGTTCATTTATTTAGGTATGTGTTTATTTTATTGTTTAGGAAATTAATTTATAAAGCAACATTTCTTCCCAATTTCCAACAAATACTCTTGTTACTGGGTCTACCAAAAAGTATTTAAGAACTACAAGAATTATGGATCAATAATTATTGACAAAAAATTTTGTTATTTAATCTTCAAAATGTCTTTAATAATTACAAACTACTTATTTACTTGGTTAACAGATTACAGTTTGTTGTAAAAGTAACATAAAGTATAGGGACCGGGATTAACATAAAATCTAGTTATTTGTTTAAAATTTTCGTTTCGCGTATCAAATCTGTTTAATTTTTGATAATTTTTTATATGAAAAATGCCGTTTTAGACTAAATTGAACAGATGTATTGCAAAAAAGGTTCCTAAGAAAAAACGTGTGATCCGAACCCCATAAAGAATGTGGATATGTACAGGGTGATCCCCTATAATGTCGCCCCCTTTAACTTTTTAATTTTAAGTGTCCCAAAAAATTTAAAAGTGTGGTTATGTAGGAACTAAAGAATACTTTTTTTCTACGTTTAAAGAAAATTGGAAAATTGATCAGTATACAGGGAAAAACAAAAAGTTTCTTTTTTTTTCAATGGATCACCCTATATATGTATTTATTTTTCGATTCCTTGTAAAATATACATACCTTATACCTAAACTCAACCGTCTCTGAAATATTTAAATTATTTTTAAGATAATAATTTGAAATAGTTTGTCTTTCTCTGTCTAAGTACGCCATTTTTACTTATTTAACAAGACATATTGACATAGTGTCTCTGGTGTCATTATAGTAATTTATTTTCAATAAAAATTTTGGTATTCTTGATTTCTAACAGTTTAAAAAACATTTAATGATAACATTTCGAATGCGAATATTTCAGAAACGGTTGAATTTAGGTAGAATTTTACAAGGAATCGAAAAATAAATTCATATATAGGGTGATCCATTGAAAAAAATAAACTTTTTGTTTTTCCCTGTATATTGATTAATTGTTTTTATACGTAGAAAAAAGTATTTTTTAGTACCTACATAACCACACTTTTAAATTTTTTGGGACACTTAAAATAAAAAAGTTAAAGGGGGGCGACATTATAGGGGATCACCCTGTACACGTATATACCAACATTCTCTATGGGGTTTTTGGATGTACATATACGTTTCTCTTACGTCAACAAATAAGGTGACTCCCCAGTAGCACAAAATATTGGTCCTATATGGGGCTCATATATGCCCAATATTTTATCTGGGACCAATATTGGATTTATTTAGCCGATGTTGGCCCTATATTGGCATAAAATGGTTATTTAATATATCTTGCCAATGTTTATCCAATGTTGGTCCTATATTGGCATATCATTTTACGCCAATATATCATTAAACATATTTATCCAAGATCGGTCCAATATTGGCATACAGTTTAAGCCAATATATCATTAAAAATATTTATCCAAGGTTGGTCCTATATTGGAATATCATTTTACGCCAATATATCATTAAAAATATTTATTCAAGGTTGGCCCTATATTGGCGTAACATGATTATCCAATATATCATAGTCGATGTGTGTGATATGTTGGCCCCATATTGTTTCAAATGTTTCAAAATTCGCCAATATGTAGGCAACCCATGCATACCTCTCGCCTTTGTAGCACAATAGATACTCCTATAAAGGTGGAATGCCTTAAGCTGTTAAGTTAGAATTTCTTACTAAGGCAAAATTACTGACCATACCGCTTCTGCTTGTAAGTTTTGAAGGGACACAGCTGGTCCTGTGGCCCACTCTGCCAAAAGTAAGCAGTGGGTCCCACTACTTACTTTTAGCAAAAGCTTTTTATAAAATTTAAAATTTAAGGTTAAACAAATATTGGGCCAATGCGGATTTTCAATATGGGTTATATAATGTAAAACAACTTCGGGCCAATATGGATTTCCAATATCGGTTATATAATGTCAAACAACTTCGGGCCAATGTTGGGTTTCAATATTGGACCAAGCTAGAAAAAATCTGACGAAAGATATGTTGGCCCAATATATAAAACGAATATTGGGCCAATATCTTTGTGCTACTGGGGCTCCTTAGATAAGTTTTTTAAGCAGGATTTAGGCCTAAACACTCCCTGAAATCCTGGAAAACTTGTTGATACGGTAATAGTTTTGTAGATACACAAGTATTTTATAATAAAAATATTTCAACCCGCTACAAAAACGAATTAAACATTTTTAAATTTCTGCACTTCCTGCGTAGTAGTAACATCGTTGTTTTGACCACTTTTCCAAAAATCACATACATACAATATGGACAAAAGTTTTATATTTCACCCAGTTCATGAGTTTCCAAATGATTTGCCATATGTTTGTCAATTTGTATAACAAATATTGTATATACGAATAAAATAAAATGTATGTAAAAAACTTACCTGTTCTTTTAATATCTACATCGTTATTGTCACGAAGCCTACTGCTTTCTTGAACTAAATTTTCTTGCGAACGTCCTGATGAAACATTATACAGATCACTAAATGCACTACCGTTTCCAAAAAAACTTGTTCGATCCTAAAAAGAAAACCTTTATAGAAGTATATATATATAAATATATATATATATATACAGAGCTGGGATCTTAAAAAAAAAAGATACTTGAAAGTATCTTAGATTCTCAAAGTATTTAAGATACTTTTTATATTGGACAGAAAGTATCTTTAACTAAGTAATTTTGGAAAAAAACTCTTGTAACTTGTATCTAAAAAAGTATAAGTTACTCGGTAAAGTAACTAAGATAAATTTAAGTAATTTATAGTTATTTACGATATAAGTGGGATAAGCGCTTTATTAACGTACGCATGCGAAATTTGCCCAACGAGTGCATAGCACGAGTTAGGCAATCGCAAAAGTTCTAAATGAAAAAATAAACGGTAATTATTTTTGTGTAAGACTTAATTTAGGGTTATTTTGACATTTTGACATTTTGACTTTTTTATTTGATTGGTTAAAAGCAGAGAAAAACGCGTGCGTTAATGAACTTCTTATCTCACTCAAAATGAGTGGGATAAGAAGTTCTTATCTCACTGGCGTAGATAAGATACTTTAAAGTAACTAAGGTACTTTTTAAAGTAACTAAGATACTTTTTAAAGTAACTTAGATACTTTTCAGTGTAACTTAGATACTTTCTTAGAGAAAATTGGGGGAATTCCAGAATGATTCAAAGTAATTACCTAACCTACAACTTGAATTTTCATAATTTTATAGTTTTTATTCATACTTAAAAGTAAATTAGTTTCTCAAAAGTATCTTAGTAACTTAAAAGTATATTAGTTACTTAAAAGTATCTTAGATACTTTTATATAGTATCATAGATACTTTTTTTCTTGTAACTAAAGATACTTTTAACTCAAAGTAACTAGTTACCAGAGGTAACTAAGTAATTTTGTTTAAAGTATCTTAGAAAAGTAATAACCTAACCTACAACTTGAATTTTCATAATTTTATAGTTTTTATTCATACTTAAAAGTAAATTAGTTTCTCAAAAGTATCTTAGTAACTTAAAAGTATCTTAGATACTTTTATATAGTATCATAGATACTTTTATATAGTATCTTAGATACTTTTTTTCTTGTAACTAAAGATACTTTTAACTCAAAGTATCTAGTTACCAGAGGTAACTAAGTAATTTTGTTTAAAGTATCTTAGAAAAGTAATTACCTAACTTACAACTTGAATTTTCATAATTTTATAGTTTTTATTCATACTTAAAAGTAAATTAGTTTCTCAAAAGTATCTTAGTAACTTAAAAGTATATTAGTTACTTAAAAGTATCTTAGATACTTTTATATAGTATCATAGATACTTTCGGATAGTATCTTAGATACTTTTTTTCTTGTAACTAAAGATACTTTTAACTCAAAGAATCTAGTTACCAGAGGTAACTAAGTAATTTTGTTTAAAGTATCTTAGAAAAGTAACTAGATACTTTTCGGAAGTAAATTTCCCAGCTCTATAGAATATATATTGTGTGTTAAGTATAATTTATTTTCAGTCCTTCTTAAATTCTCTTAAAGATGTTTTATGAACAGTTTCTTTTTTTATCTGGCATATTATTATGGTCTTCATAACATTATTCTTGAGTATAAAGTTGCTTATTTATATATTTTTTGTACAAATAAAAATTTAATTAAAACTTTTATACATAGATATTGGCTGTACTAAATATAAATAACGGACCAATCACAAAGTTAGTTATAGTTATAGTTTTTAATAAAAAAATTAAAAGTAAAAAAACAAAAATTAATATAAGGTTTTCTTAAATAAATTAATTAAATGTAAAGCAGTTTTCAATTATCCAATTTTGTTAGAATTAGGACTGTTTTCAATTAGCTGAAAATTTTGTGAATTTTGAAAATATTTTTTTTTAAATTTTGATCTATTGTATAAATTTTGTTTGAATATTCTAATACGACGCAGGCATGTGCGAGGGCCGTTTCCGTTTTATCTTTCGTAACGCCAAGTTTTGGTTTACACATATAAGTTTCGCTTGAAAACGAGTTATAAAAATGTTAAAGATTGTCCAGTTTCTGTCTCATTTATGTCCTGTCCCAAGAACTAAAACACCTTTATACTAAATTTCATTAAAATCCATTCATCAGACTTTTAAAAATGGAGAATGCGCCGGGAATAAAACTGAATTTTGCAGTGTCTCCCTTAGGGATAGAATTTTTTTAAATTCTTTTTTAGCTGTTATCCATATCATTATAGGAATGAAATGCCAAATTTGGGACAAGTTATTTTATACGATTACAAATCTATATATAGATTAAAACCCCATTGAGGAGATTTAAATCATTTAATAAAGATTTAGATGGAAAAAGCTGTTGAGTGAAAATTGATTTTTGGAGAAAGAAATGTACATAAAAAAATACAGCAGTAACATTAATGCACAGGACAGTAATCCACTTATTTTCAATTCAAAGTAATACTTAATTTGTAGAATATTAATCACTACAGTTCCTGACACCACTCATTGATGTCACAAAACTAACTATTGCTCTTTTAAAATTAACCAGTGATTTTTTATTAGAAATTGTATGTTTAAATGGTACACTGACACTGACATTGGTATTGAAATTTCTACTTATATTTCTATATTACGTTTATTCGTGTTTTGCGCATTAATGGGTACTATTATGCAGGGGCGGATCTAGAATGTGTCATTGGGGGGGGGGCGGAGTTGAAAATTTTTGTAAATAATAAGAAAGTTGAAATTAAACTTATTCCATTTTTTTATTATTTTCTATATTAATTTAAAAAGTTATGTTCAATTTCATCTTGATAACTTACTTCCGGGGGGGGCGATCGCCCCCATCGCCCCCCCCTTGGATCCGCCAATGCTATTATGTTATCAATGTTTTTTTATGTACGCTAACTTTCCTTTTTAAAAATCGTTATTTAGTTGTTCCTAGCCAAAGATATATATTATAATAGATAATAATAATATATAATTATCTTTGGTTCCTAGCTAGTAAATATTAGTTGCCAGAAACAAAAACCTATTTTTAAGATTAAAATTAGCGTAATTTACAGAAATGAATTTACAGAATTGTTAAATTTGTTTCAAATAAGCCACTCATATATAATTCCTAATAAACCACAATCACGGAAAAAAATAATCGGTAGACTCTACCGAAAAAATCGGTAGACTCTACCGAAAAAATCGGTAGTCTCTACCGAAAAAAAATCGGTTTCCTCAACCGATTTTTATCGGTAGTAGCTACCGATTATTTTTTGGTAGAGTCTACCAATTTTTTCGGTAGAGTCTACCGATTTTTTCGGTAGCCGTAACCGAGAAAATCCGCATCGATGCGCTGTTAGAAAATTAAAAAAATTATATTAATACTTAAAAATATTAACATTTAAAAATAATATTAAACATTATTCAAGTTAATAAAAATTACTCTTTTCAGTCAAACATTTTGAGATGGTATTCATTGTAATTAGAACCTTGTTTATTAATACAAAAAAAATACTCTACTTTGTAGCCACCAGACATTTAATTTAATATTTATTTAGAATTGTAAAAAATTTAATAAAAAATACTCCTCATTTTTAATATTTTTGTATTTCAAATTTATTCATACCTCAAAAAAAAAAATACTATTTTCTATTTAATAAAAAGCGAGTATTTAACTTCTCGCTAAAAAAATACAAAATTTTTCAAAAATTGGTAATCGATTTTTTCGGTAGCCTGCACCGAATAAATCGGTATACTCTACCGAAAATAATCGGTAGCTGCTACCGATAAAAATCGGTTGAGGGAACCGATTTTTTTTTTGGTAGAGACTACCGATTTTATCGGTAGCTGCTACCGATTGCCAATCGGTAGCCTTTACCGATTATTTTTTTCCGTGATATTTTGAAATTGTTTAATTTAAATCATATAAAAAAATATATTCTGTACCCCAGAGACAAACTGCCCATTTTTTAAATTACTTTTCATATTTTTTGACTACTATGTTCTGCTTTTTCCAATGGTCATGACTTAATTCGTTTTTGATATATTAATATACTAAATAAACCAGGACTTAACCACTTTTTTGAAATTACTAATTACCAGTACTGGTAATTAGTGATTTCAAAAAAGTGGATTTGGGGTAAAAATATTTGTTTGTTTTTAAATCAAACCGTATCTTTAGGATATGGTTTATTATTTATAATGTATAATATAACAATTGTTAAATAATTTAAAATAATATCGACAAAAATTATATCACAAGCCGTCAAGGATACCTGTAATGCTGCTTTGGCTTTTTCCACACTTTGTTTTAACTGTTCAAAAGTACTGGGATTGCAGAATCTGTAAGCAGGCCAATCTGCTGCGGTACTAAATTCTTCTGTTTTAATACCCAAAGGACAAGTTGAAGCTGTACTACGTTTCAGCTCTAGTGCGCCTTGATAAGAACACGAACTTTCGTACATTTTGCGCCGCAATGGACACTTTTTTCTGCAATAAAAAAAATACATTATAAATTAAAAAGTTATTTTTGCCTTTAATAATGTGGTAATATTTTTTAAATCTATATTTTAGAGATATTACATCAAACAAATTAAAAAGTATTTTATTATTTTAAAAAAATATACATTTTTAATAGCAGTATGGTATACTAGCTGTTTAACAGATATACCGCAAAAACGCCGCTTCGTGGCCTTTTGTTGCAAAAATGGTGAATGCGTCGGGTTTTATTAATCAACTAGCGGTCAATCCGCTCCGATTTATTGTTTTGCATTATGTAAACCTGAAATAGATTGAAACATAAAATGAGGTTTCCAATGTTCAAATCCATTTAACTTAAAAGATATATTATATCTACTAAATAAAATAAACTACTAAATAAAATAAACTTCCAATGCTTTTTTATAAGCTACGTATGTTTTTTTCATTTGCTACGACAACGACGTTTGTGATAAAAATAAAAAAATAAATAAAAAGATGTTTTTCAAACAATTTTTTTTGCAAAAATGAGAAAATTGTAATTCAAAAATCAAAAACAATATTTGTTTGCAAAAATTCAAAAAATATTTTTTGAAAGGGTCAAAGGGTCAATCAATCAAGTTCACAATGCCAAAGAGTTAAAATGTCTAAAATGCATGTAAACATATTTTATACGCCGTCCCCGCCAAAGTTTGTGAAAAGAATAGAAGTTTTAGAAATAATAGGTTATGTTTTATAACCTATTATTTCTTAAACTTATATTTTTCAGGAGGTCCAATTTTTTCGAGTCATGTTGCTTAAAGCCCTCCAACCATTTTATTGTAAACATTCATAAACTTTTTAATTTTAATGTTGTTTGAAAGATATACAATAAGAAAAAAATATCAAAATCTACATAATATATAGAGTGTACCAAAATGTAAAGAAAAATTCCTCTTAAAATTCCAAGACAAATTTTTCATTAGCATTTTATCGGTTTACAAAAGATGATGATATTTTAACACTGATAAAAAAAGTTAATTTAAAAAAAAATCTATTTAAATAGTTGAAAAGCCTTCAAAAATTAGGTTTTTGAACGTACACATTAGTTACAGTTTTTTATTCTGGCAGGTATTGGAAAAAAAGATGACTATTAAAAAAACGATAACTTTTTTAAGATAACATCATATAAACAATCCACAGGGTCACGAGACATCTGGGTGGCCAGATAAAATTCCATTACTTTTAGATTTTTTTTTGAGAAGCTGAACATTTTAAGTCTGTAAGGAAGTGCTTCTGAAATCAATCAAAAATAGTAGCAACGATTTGGTAGGTTAATAAAACATTGCAATCTTTGTATAAATTAATGACTTTAACAAATGTTTAATAGCTAAGACGTAACAGCACGGGAACGGAATCTGAGAATCTTTTAAGGAAGTAAAGCAGGTGGTGGCATTATCTTTTAAAATCTAGTTTATTTCATAAATTCTATAAAATTCTCAAATTCTGGTAAGAGAAAATTAGAATGGTTCACAGAGCCCTTGTGGGGCCCGCAAGTTTACTTTGAGGGGCCTAATGTGTATATAGTTTATAAGTTTGAAAACTTGATTGTAAAATTTTAATTTCAATTTCAATGTAAAACAACTACTTTAGGGTCCTAAGCTTTAGGGGTCCCAGGGCAAACTAACCCGGTTACCCCCTCTGAGCGCTCCTGTGACGATAAATATTTGGTTTTATAACATGCGGTGGCACTCTTACAACCACTACTTTTTAAAATATTGTATAAATTAAATATCTAAAATATCAAGAAGGTTTTAAAATTTCTGGAGAAATTGAGCCGGCGGAAAAAAACCGGGGAAATTTTCAGAAAAATTGACTTTTTAATTTCTTAAATTTTATTCAAAGGGTAATACGAAAAAATGCAAATGTCAATTTTTTTGAAAATTTCCAAATTTTTATGGATAGTATCCGTACACTGATATTAAGAAAAAAGTGAATTTCCGACGCTGATTATAATCATATAATATTATGATTATAAAAATTATTCCTTTTTTTTAATTCAGTAAGAATATTCTACCGGGCCGCAAAAAACCTATTCGGTGATGTATTAACTTTTATTTAAAACTTAGATTTATAAAATTATAATTTTGTAATTTAACTTTATAAATCATTCATTGTTTTATAGTTAGATATTTTTAATTACTCCTTTTTGCAACAAAAAAAACCCAACAGACAGTATATTTCACGTTTACGTTTATATTCCTTAATTTAATTTAATGTTTAGTTTTTTCTTTGTAATAAAGGATTTTTTTTATTTAAAATATTGTTAACTTGTTGATTGCCACTTTTTTCAAATGTGTATATTTTTCAAAAAAAAATTCAATTTTTCCCAAAAAAAAGCCTGGGAAAAAAACATAAAAAACAGGTTTTTTCCCCAGTTTTTCCGGTTTTTTTTTCGACAAGAAATCAAATAATAATAATAATGATTACTATTCTAGTAAATTACTAGAATAATAATCATTATTATTATTTGATTTATTCGGAATTTCATGTGGTTTTGTTTATTTTGTATCTTGATATTTTAGATATTTCATTTATACAATATTTCAAAAATCAAAATCAAAAATTCAAAATTAAATTTACATTACATTTACAACTCATTTACATCGCTGAAGAACTAAACGCAATCGATTACATTAGTATATTACTTTTGTATTAATAAATATATCTTTATAAAATGGAAACCAAATATTGAATATCCTTAATAAACAAATTCTCATAGGTACATTAAAATTAAAATTATTATTATTTTTTACAAAAATACCACAGATTTGTTCTTACCTCATGTTGCTATTTTCTTTTACTTTAACTAACTAGAAAAGTGTTTTTATGGTAAATATTCAAATATCCTACCACTTATTCCGACACGAAAAAAATGAGAGAGTGTAAATTCATTATTTTGACGAACCAATAATTGCCACCCCGGAACGACTGTTATCACGAGCTTAATATTTAGTTTATACGATTTACGTCTAGTAGGCCACGCGAGTTTGTCGCGGTCGACACGATTGTTCGCTTCCGTTTCAATTAAGTTACAGGAAGAGGTCCCTCATCTCATTATGCACTGTTTTACAAATTTTATTTTTAGATTAATGCCACTTTCATTATTTGAAAGTATTTTTTATATTGCATGTTATTGCATTAGACCAAGTAAACGTTTATCCAGGAAGTTCTAATAAATTACATTATTAAAGTGTTTGTTTCTCCATGCCAATTTGTTAACTTCTTAATTTTGTTTGTATTATTTCTTTAATATTAATGAAATTTCGAAAGTTGCTAAATTTTAAGGCATATATTATAAGCAATACTCGTCTAATTTACTTTTTAAAATTGCCCTCCGCTAACTGATAGTTTCAGTTTAGAAAAGATCTATAATCGTTTAAAAGTCAACCAGAACCATATAAAAAGAATACATAGGATGATCAAAAGTATTTGTTGACCTTTTCATGATTTTTTTTTTAAACTTGCGTTATTATTCAACTATTTAAGAAGTTATCTTTAAATCGCAGTATTTGAACCAGTTGAAAACATTATAAAAGAAAACTATTTTCAGTTACAATATTTATGGCCATGATATAAATTTTGTAGTTTAAATGAAAGACTACGGCTTTGGTTCATTGAATTTAGCTGCCTTTCAAGCATGTAATGCTTACTGGCCAATCATTTAAATACTGAGCTTTAAAAGATAACTCCTCAGTTTTTTTCTACATCGTTGTGTTTGTAAATCGAATTCAAGTTCGTGTTGAATTTTACAATAAATAAAAGTTTAAGAAAAAAGATGGCCGAAAAGTGGGTAAATATTTGCCTCACAAAGTGAAATAAATCGTTATACATTTTTTTCCACAAAATTCTAGGGATATCCCTGGACCTTTACGTTTCATACGAAGCCATTGTCAGTATTAATCTAGGTATGAGACGAGTCGCCCCTTGGCTACTCCCCAAAGAGCTAAATTTTTTCCACTATTGGGAAATTTTGGCAGAAAAGTAAACAAATATTTTTGTTCAATGTCGGTATTCTTCTATTATAATATATTAGGTATACCTAGAGGTCCAGCCACCTCGTGACATAAAATACTTTTTCTACTCCTATTACAGAATATGACCGTTCTAATGTCACTTTTTAATGTGGAATGACATATATTCCTGAATTACAGAATGACATCTCTGTGTTTAATATCTAACAAATTTAGACCGATCCAACCTCACTTTCTCCCAATTAAATTATTTTTCTACGGTATTTTTTGGAAACGTAGAAAAAGTATAGTCTGAAACACGTTTGGAATTGCATATTCCGCTCTCGTTAAACCGTCAAACTCGCCTTCGGCTCATGTGACAAACTCTTCACTCGAGCGGAATATGCTGTATTCAAAACTTGTTACAGAATATACTATTAAATATACTATTATAATATATTAGGTATACCTAGAGGTCCAGCCACCTCGTGACATAAAATACTTTTTCTACTACTATTACAGAATATGACCGTTCTAATGTCACTTTTTAATGTGGAATGACATATATTCCTGAATTACAGAATGACATCTCTGTGTTTAATATCTAACAAATTTAGACCGATCCAACCTCACTTTCTCCCAATTAAATTATTTTTCTACGGTATTTTTTGGAAACGTAGAAAAAGTATAGTCTGAAACACGTTTGGAATTGCATATTCCGCTCTCGTTAAACCGTCAAACTCGCCTTCGGCTCGTGTGACAAACTCTTCACTCGAGCGGAATATGCTGTATTCAAAACTTGTTACAGAATATACTATTAAATATACTATTATAATATATTAGGTATACCTAGAGGTCCAGCCACCTCGTTACATAAAATACTTTTTCTACTACTATTACAGAATATGACCGTTCTAATGTCACTTTTTAATGTGGAATGACATATATTCCTGAATTACAGAATGACATCTCTGTGTTTAATATCTAACAAATTTAGACCGATCCAACCTCACTTTCTCCCAATTAAATTATTTTTCTACGGTATTTTTTGGAAACGTAGAAAAAGTATAGTCTGAAACACGTTTGGAATTGCATATTCCGCTCTCGTTAAACCGTCAAACTCGCCTTCGGCTCATGTGACAAACTCTTCACTCGAGCGGAATATGCTGTATTCAAAACTTGTTACAGAATATACTATTAAATATACTATTATAATATATTAGGTATACCTAGAGGTCCAGCCACCTCGTGACATAAAATACTTTTTCTACTACTATTACAGAATATGACCGTTCTAATGTCACTTTTTAATGTGGAATGACATATATTCCTGAATTACAGAATGACATCTCTGTGTTTAATATCTAACAAATTTAGACCGATCCAACCTCACTTTCTCCCAATTAAATTATTTTTCTACGGTATTTTTTGGAAACGTAGAAAAAGTATAGTCTGAAACACGTTTGGAATTGCATATTCCGCTCTCGTTAAACCGTCAAACTCGCCTTCGGCTCATGTGACAAACTCTTCACTCGAGCGGAATATGCTGTATTCAAAACTTGTTACAGAATATACTATTAAATATACTATTATAATATATTAGGTATACCTAGAGGTCCAGCCACCTCGTGACATAAAATACTTTTTCTACTACTATTACAGAATATGACCGTTCTAATGTCACTTTTTAATGTGGAATGACATATATTCCTGAATTACAGAATGACATCTCTGTGTTTAATATCTAACAAATTTAGACCGATCCAACCTCACTTTCTCCCAATTAAATTATTTTTCTACGGTATTTTTTGGAAACGTAGAAAAAGTATAGTCTGAAACACGTTTGGAATTGCATATTCCGCTCTCGTTAAACCGTCAAACTCGCCTTCGGCTCGTGTGACAAACTCTTCACTCGAGCGGAATATGCTGTATTCAAAACTTGTTACAGAATATACTATTAAATATACTATTATAATATATTAGGTATACCTAAAGGTCCAGCCACCTCGTTACATAAAATACTTTTTCTACTACTATTACAGAATATGACCGTTCTAATGTCACTTTTTAATGTGGAATGACATATATTCCTGAATTACAGAATGACATCTCTGTGTTTAATATCTAACAAATTTAGACCGATCCAACCTCACTTTCTCCCAATTAAATTATTTTTCTACGGTATTTTTTGGAAACGTAGAAAAAGTATAGTCTGAAACACGTTTGGAATTGCATATTCCGCTCTCGTTAAACCGTCAAACTCGCCTTCGGCTCGTGTGACAAACTCTTCACTCGAGCGGAATATGCTGTATTCAAAACTTGTTACAGAATATACTATTAAATATACTATTATAATATATTAGATATACCTAGAGGTCCAGCCACCTCGTTACATAAAATACTTTCTCTACGACTACTTAAGAATAGTAACATTCTAGTGTAATTTTTGATCATAGAAAGGATGTTTTTCTGCAATACTGTGCGAGAATATTCCTACTCTTGTATAAGAATGGTCACAAGTAACGACATCTCCTGGCTGTTTACTAAACGTAAAAAATTTAAAAATATTTAAATATTACTGTATTATTTATTATTTAAAAATAATAGCAGTAATATAATTAAGGTTTAGGCACAAAAAATTAGTTACATTTATTGTTTTTCAAATAATCAAATCAAAATTATAATAAATTTGATATTAAAATGATAAATCAGTTACCTACTATACCGGCTTTGAAGTTTGATATTAAAATGATAAATCAGTTACCTACTATACCGGCTTTGAAGTTTTGACAGATTCAAAAAGTTTAAAAAAAGACCTTTAAAATGTAGAAAAAGAATGTTATTTTTTTATTAGTAAGTGTAAATAACTATTTTTAATTATAATAAAGATTTAGGCATACCATTTGTTTAAATTTAATATAATTTACATTATAAAATTGTGACGGCACAAAATGGTTTGACAATACAAAAAACTTAAATGTCAAAAACTGCTTGGTTTCTTTTCTCTGTTTAAAATTACTATTCTTACGTAGTCGTAGAGAAAATAATGTCTGAAACACGTTTGGAATAGCATATTCCACTCTCGTAAAACCGTCACACTCGCCTTCGGCTCGTGTGTCAAATTTTTCCTCGAGCGGAATATGCTGTATTCCAAACTTGTTACAGAATGTACTATTTTCTACTACTATTACAGAATATGACCGTTCTAATGTCACTTTTTAATGTGGAATGACATATATTCCTGAATTACAGAATGACATCTCTGTGTTTAATATCTAACAAATTTAGACCGATCCAACCTCACTTTCTCCCAATTAAATTATTTTTCTACGGTATTTTTTGGAAACGTAGAAAAAGTATAGTCTGAAACACGTTTGGAATTGCATATTCCGCTCTCGTTAAACCGTCAAACTCGCCTTCGGCTCATGTGACAAACTCTTCACTCGAGCGGAATATGCTGTATTCAAAACTTGTTACAGAATATACTATTAAATATACTATTATAATATATTAGGTATACCTAGAGGTCCAGCCACCTCGTGACATAAAATACTTTTTCTACTACTATTACAGAATATGACCGTTCTAATGTCACTTTTTAATGTGGAATGACATATATTCCTGAATTACAGAATGACATCTCTGTGTTTAATATCTAACAAATTTAGACCGATCCAACCTCACTTTCTCCCAATTAAATTATTTTTCTATGGTATTTTTTGGAAACGTAGAAAAAGTATAGTCTGAAACACGTTTGGAATTGCATATTCCGCTCTCGTTAAACCGTCAAACTCGCCTTCGGCTCATGGACAAACTTTTCACTCGAGCGGAATATGCTGTATTCCAAACTTGTTACAGAATATACTATTAAAAAAGGGACTAAATGTGTCAAAATAAATTTTAATAAATAATTTAAATATGTTTTAGTTCATTAAAAAATTCAGGATATATCCTGAACTATAGTTGGTGTCTAAATAGTCCTTCAGTAGGGATGGGATTTTAGTTATTTAACCTTTTTTCAACCGATGTAACTATTTGAAAACCAATAATGCCAAAATGTGTTTTAAAAGATTTTCTTTTATATGAACCTCACTTAACCTAT